ATTTAATTTTTAAATGTGATTTTAATTTCCCAAAATTAGGTACTTAACAATTTTGAAAGTAAAGTCATTTTGCATAAAAAGTGGTTTATAAACCCCAATTTAAAATAATAACAATTTTTTCGTCATTTTAAAATTGTATAATGCATAAATTACTTTATCTACGTAAAAGTAAAACCACTATGGTTATGATTAACTAAACTTCATAAATAACTACTAATTAACAAATCCAGGATTTGTAATCCTTAATAATTAAATTTTAAATATATATAATTTTAGATCTAAATCTCAGAGAAATATAATGTCATGAAAAGCAAAGGAAATTATATTAATTTAAATAATCGGTTATATTTGATTCAAATAGAAAATGTTGTAGTTTTATATACATTTACCAAAAAATTTACAATGTATTTAAACACTTTTAAAGTTCATCCTTTTTGAAAATATGTATACGTAAAGAAATCTATTTATTTCGTTGCGTTTCTAAACGTTGTTTCAAAAAGATTTTCATTAATAAATTGTTATACACATATTAATTTAATGGGACACACCAAAGACGCAACCTTTGAATTATTATCGTTTTTATTGGTTTTATAACTTTTTTCTCTGAGTAAGGATATTTAATTTTTTAAATGTGGTTTCAATTTCCAAAAACACTTATCAATTTTAAAAGTAGTCATTTTGCATAAAAAGTGGTAAACCCTAATTTAAAATAGTATCAATTTTTTGTCTTTTTAAAAAATTGTATAAGGCATAAATTACTTCCTCTACGTAAAAATAAAACCAGTATGGTTATGATTAACTAAACTTTATAAATAACTACTAATTTACAAAAAAAAAAATCCAGGACATGTAAACTGTAATAATTAAATTTTAAATATACATATATAATTTTAGATCTAAATCTCAAAGAAATATCATGTCATGAAAAGCAAACGAATTAAGGAATATTAATTTAAATAATTGGGTTTCTCAATGCATTATAAAATTGTTATTTATTTATTTATTTAAAGAAAGACTCTACAGGAAAATTTTCTCAGTTACAGAGCTTTTTCTAAAATTAACTTAAAACTAATTGACATATAACTTCTATTCTTACTTAAATCTAATTACCAAATAAAAAATACATTTCCGATAAATATTTACACCTATTAATTTAATGGGACACACAAATGACCCAAAAATATATTTGAATCCCTTCGAATTATTATCATTTTTTTTTCTCCTTAATAATTAAATTTTAAATATATATAATTTAAATTTAAATATTTTAAGAGGTTTTCTTGTCGAAAATACTTTGTTAGGGACAAAACAAAATCTAGTCAGCAAGTTGATTTAATTTATTTAATATTACATTAAGGCCACAAATAAAACTCAAATTATAAAGTTTATTAATTAAAGAAAAACATTATTATTTACACACAATTTCTTAAAAATTGTATCGCTGTTACTGGAGAAGGTTGCGTCGCGATCAGTCAAGTTCAGGATCCTGAAAATTTTCTTACGAACGAAACGAACAGATAGTTTTAGCGATTTATTCAGTAAATTGATTGAAACAACTGAGTTGGGTTTGCTCGATTTTTTTTTATAGAAGTAAAGTTTTTTTAAAGAAATATTTAAAAATTCTCAGAATCCTGGTCTTAGGATCCTGTCAAATTAAATTTATTTTTGTCAAACTAAATTGAATTGCATTTTAAACTATTATTTTCTTAACAATAATTTATAAAGTTAAAAGACATTATAATATTCTCTGTTTAAGACAGATAGATTACAAAATTAATCTATTTTCCAAATTTTTCGATGTTTTTAAAGATGGACTAAATTACATCTCTCTATATGTGCACTTAAGCGATATAAACGTTGATTTTAGTTCATTTTCTGTTTTTAAAATATTTTGAATGATCCACTTAACATCTTCTAGGATGTTATATTTCATATTTCACAACTAGAATGTGCAAAAAGTGTCGAGCCGAAATCAGGCTCATTTTCGTTCGCATTTTTAGAACTACCCATATATATTTGGGACTGTCTACAGTTCCTACCAGTAGGAACTTAAGTCTTCAAGACTAAAGTTCCTACTGGTCGGAACTGCAGCCACTGAGTCAAAAGTTCCTACCAGTAGGAACTTAAGTCTTCAAGACTAAAGTTCCTACTGGTCGGAACTGCAGCCACTGAGTCAAAAGTTACTACCAGTCGGAAATTCTGTTATGGACGCCAAAGTTACTACCACCTGTTTAGATTAGAAATGGCCTATTTGGGAAATAATGTTCAAACCATTTTATAAAAATCTTTGGAAAACTTATTTTATTACAATAATGTTTAATCATTGAGTAAAGTATTACTTAATGTCTAATATTATATACAATGCGTTATAAATGAAAAATTGAATCAAACATTTTTTCATTATTGTATAAAGAAGTTTTACTAATCTTATAAGAAAGAGTATTTCTATAATAACTATAGTTTTGGTATCTTTGCTAAAAGGCTTAAATTCAAAATATATATTTAACAACAAACATTTATTTAGTAAAAACAAAAATAAAATGTAACTTAAAATTAATGGTAAAACATAAAAAATATATCCTTTTTAACTATTTATAAATAAAATATTAAAGTATCTTGCGATTTAGGTAGGAAATTTAGAAATATATCTCTAGTTTTCTAAATATATTTATAAATATATATGTATATATATACAGGGTGTCTCACCAGCGATGGTACCTTAGACGTTTACGGAGAACGGCTGAGGATATCCTGATATATATCAATTTGAAATTTTCATAGCAATTATTGTACAATTTAATCTACCTTTTAAAATTATTTTGAATAAAATTCCTCTTCCGGTTTAACCGGAAGCGACATCAACTTTGTTATTTCCAATGGAACACCCTGTAAATTTTTTTATTTTTAAATTCCTCATGAAATTCCAAAAATCCTTACAGCATACCAGCAAACCGAATATCAAAAAAGTTATAAGCTATTTTTAATGAAGGTGCAACTGTCAAAATTTTACGAAAAAAATTATTAACTTGAAAACTATTAAGTTTAGGTATAGGAAATGGTACAGCAATTTCATTAAGAATTTCATGAGGAATTTAAAAATAAAAAAATTTACAGGGTGTTCCATTGGAAATAACAAAGTTGATGTCGCTTCCGGTTAAACCGGAAGAGGAATTTTATTTAAAATAATTTTAAAAGGTAGATTAAATTGTACAATAATTGCTATAAAATCTTCAAATTGATATCCTCAGCCGTTCTCCGTAAACCTCTAAGGTACCATCGCTGGTGAGACACCCTGTATATATATATATATATATATATATATATATATATATATATACAGGGTGTTTCATAATATATGCGCAGGACTTCAGGCTCATCCAAAAAGATGTAAAAAGTCGCTATTAACTTACCCTCTAAAATTCACAATTTTCGAGATACAGGGTGTGTAAATTTTAGAAAAAAAAATTGTTTTTTTCGAATATCTCCGGAACCATTTATCGTACAAAAAACAGCTTTTGTAAGCATTTTCTACTCATAATAAGCTATGTTTTGTGCCAGAAAATTTTTATTTTTACTTATAATTGGTGGAGATTTTGAAGCGGGTGTTTTTCTCCTCAACTTCTACGCCCCTGAAAAAAGTATGGTTTTGAGAGGCCCATTCCATCTGCCAATGTTTTCTACACAAAAAAGGTACTCTTTGTCATAAGCTCTAAAATTGACCGTTTTCAAGAAAAATCAACTTTTATGTTTAAAAACATGGTCAATTTAAAAAAAAATTTTTTTTACTAATTAAACAAAATTTATTTTAACGTTAGAACAAGTAACAAAACCAAACGATAATTGCAAAATTAAAAAAAAAAATAAAAAATAATTCAAAAGTTAAATTAAATGTTGGAAATGTCCACCGTTATCTTCAATGCACGCAAAGACAACTTTTGAATTATTTTTAATTTTTTTTTATTTTGCAATTATCGTTTGGTTTTGTTACTTGTTCTAAGGTTACAGTATAGACAAAGAGCGGGAACCACAGAACACCAAGTTCCTACTGGTAGTAACTCTTGACCAGGTGGCTAAAGTTCCTACCAGTAGGAACTTTAGACTCGGCGACTAAAATTCCTACTGGTAGGAACTGTAGACAGTCCCTTTTTAAAAACCTTTTTTGCAAAAATGGCGAATGCACAGGGATAAAAAATTTGCTATAATATTTTTTCTTAAAAGTACTAGATTAAATACCATTTAAATGCACGATTTTGCCTAACATAATAAACAGATAAAGAATCTGGCCAAACAATACCTTCCAGGTATCGCCATTATACAGTATTACTGTACCCATGATGTAGTAATAACAATACCGCGCTCGTTAAACAGTTTATCTGCGTGCACAACATCGAGAATACATAATAGAGAAGTGCGGGAATGCGTTAAATACAAATAAAAAGGGCATTATCAGCTACGAGGGAAGTTACAATTGACCAAGAAATACCGTTTTTCAGAACTAATGCATATTATAAGCTTAATAAATAAAACTTTTAAATGTAATGTAATGTAACATGTTTACACTGTTTTAGATTCAAAACGAGTAATATTTTTAAAACTGTCTAAAAACTATATATACACAGGGTGAGTTATTTAACTAGTATACTATACATAAATGCATTTTACGAAAAAATGTTTAAAATAAAAATTTAATGATTCGAGGGGGAAATCAATCAGTACTAAAATTGGTCCTCATGCTCTCCTCCTTAGTACTGATTGATTTCCCCCCTCGAATCATTTAATTTTTATTTTAAACATTTTTTCGAGATATTTTAAAGTTTCAAGTTAAATGACTTACCCTGTATATACATGCCTACTGCCTTTTAAAGCTTGAATTGATAGCGGAAACCTAAATGTTCGGTTAGCGCAATGTGTCTGCTATTTCGGAATTCAAATGACGCGAGCTGTTGATTGTATTTTCGTTTTTATCGTTTATTGTTTCCTTTTCTATTTATATTGCTTACCTGATTGTAGATGTCAATAGCCTTGTAGGGGTTCACTGCGACCAATATTGAGCCGGTGTAGGTCTAAATCTTGTTAAGGAAAATAAAACAGTTTAAATGCAATATTAAATGAAAAAATATTAATATTAAAATGATTATTTTATTTATGCAGAAGCTGATAGCTTACAAAAAAAAAGAAAAAAAAGTATACGAGTACATATCGTCGCTGTTCTGACAAAGAGGCGTAAGGGACATTTTTTCCATATTGGAGTTAAGTTCACTAAGTGATTTTTTACGGTTGAATCTATGATCTGACAAAAGGAATTCATACATACATACATTATGTATGTATGTATGTATGTATTTATTTTGTTTTAAAACTATTTGTGATTACAACTCATGATAGAGATTACATCCAAGGGAAAATTCCAAGTACTAAAAGACACCAGCTTATAGTCAAAGAAAAAGGGTGTCTATAATTTAAAAATCTAAGTTGTTATTCTGCAAGTGAGCACCACTACAAGGAATTTTGTTTATGCAATACTCTAAAATCGTACCACCCTATATAGTTTCTTTTTTACGTTATCTGATTAAGTCCTTTGTGTACCCCAGTCCGTTGTGATGCCAATGTCTATTTCGTTACTTTTTTTAGTTTTTGTTAAAAAAAAATCCTTAAAATGATTTTACTATCACTTGGTAATACCTGTTTATAAATTAGAGTTTAACTCACTAATACAGTGACTAAAAGAAAATATTAATGGTATTGTTTTTTTAACAAAGAATCGGAATGGTGTCTTTTAAAAAGTAACTTAACTAACATAAATATTTAAAAAAGGCATACAATTTTTAATAAAAAATAAAATTGGAGTCAAAAGTTTGTGAACTAAGCACTATGCTCCACACCTCTAAGTCCCACCACGTGACCACGTACGGAACGCAGTCTTTTGAAAATTTGGCATTTAAGTCTCTTAATGTCTCTGTCAAAGTATAGTCAACGAAAGAAATAATATGTTTAGGCGTTAAAAATGTATAAATCTTTATAACATTACAATAACAATGGATGGTTTAAGAATTTAAGATATAAATACTGCATTTAATGAAATTCTAAAGTGTATGGTGCCAAATAAGTAATATTTTTGTGCATTTAGTCCAAATTTCTGGTTTTCTCCATAAAATAATTTTAACTAAACAGCATTTAATAAAAAAAAATCTAGCTTCTCTATTATGGAATAAGAATATCTGTATTAAAGGTAGGTTAATATATTATAACAAAAATATCATCTAATTTTGTAATTTTAAGGTTAGAAAAATTTATTTTGACCAAAATAAATAAGTATTTTGGATTATTTAAAAGACTGTATAATATGGTATTTAAAAATGTGGTAGTTTTTCTTATCCAGCTTAAGGTGTACCTACATAAAGTTTTGTCAATACAAATAGTTAAAAAGCTTCGACTGAACTTGATCTACATCGAAAAATCATTATAACTTTAAAAAATTTAATAAATCACGTCATGGGAGTATTAAATATTTTCACATTGCAAGTTTCTCTAAAAATTATAATAATTATAATCTAACTTAAAGAAGGTATGCCGAGAGGTATGCACAAGTTTTGTCATTAGAAGTATAAAAGCTTCAATTTAATTTGAACCATATTCAACAATTATTTAAGTCGTATACCTACATTTATTTATGACCATAATATTATTAACACACTCTTCCAAATAATCCACTTATTTATTTTGGTCAAAATAGATTTTTCTAAAATACAAAATTAGATGATATTTTTTGTTCTAATACATTAACCTACCTTTGATACAGATATTCTTATTTCATAATAGAGAAGTTAGATTTTTTTTAATAAATGCTGTTTAGTTAAAACTATTTTATGGTATAAAACCAGGTAATTAAAAACTTAACATTAAAATTATTATTTTGGGTAATTGAAAACTGTCCAAAAAAGTTTCAATTTAGCCCTGTGGTCCAAATGTGTTTTTTTTTCAAATAACCCTATTAATTTGTACATTTTTATCGCAAACCACCATAAAAAAGCAATTTTAAAAACAGTAGACCACCCAGCCACATGTTGGCCCCTATTACATACAAAAACATCATCTCCAATATCTCATCTTTTTATAAAATCCTCAAGTTTCCCAACGACGTAAACGATGCCACAGGACAATGATTTCCCTTAGAACAAAAGGGGTGTTTGGGTCGACGCTCTTTACCGCGTTCAGACTCAGTCGTTATGCAATCGGGGGTGGCTGGCGATATCACCCCTCTCTCTCTTTTTCACACACACACTATCTTTTATTATTTGCCAGGCATGCCCTGATTTCCCTTTCGAGATCCAATAACGCCCGCTATACCACGTTCGCCGGACGAAAAACGTCGGGAAGTCCTTTATTTGTTTATTTGTATATCTTTAACTTTAAAAGGTAAGCTTATGAATTTTGAATATGTTTTTAAGGCTGCCACGTTGAATCTCTACCTTAAAGATTTTTCGAGATATAAAGTTTTTCAGGAATTTTTCGCTTTGTAAATATAATATATATATTGTATTTTATGCATTGTGACTCACTTTGGAGTTTGGAATTTATCGCATTAATTACGTTAAAGGGTTAATATACTCGTTTTAAAGCAATTACTGGACCTATTTAAATGATTTTAATATTAGATAATTTTAACAAATTTTGCTGCTTTTAAGTAAGTTTTTTAAAATATATCTTTTTAACGCTTAAATTATATTAAAATAGTAGAGACCGGATTCTAGGCAAAATGCCATTTCAAGCAAAAAAACTGTTTTTATAAAAAAAAATGGTAGGTAATTATATTTTGGCATCAAAATTGTCAAACATATTCGTATTTTATTAGGATATACAATGTATATTATACATACATTAAATAAAAACGCAAACAATATTTTTTCTACTCCCACCTTTAAAACGCCCTTTATCGTACATGTTTCAATGACACTAAGTGACCTTTTAAATACACATTGACAAGTTGTGGCTTTAAGTTAGTTTTAAGTTAGTTGGCAGTTGTCAAATGTCTTACAATCGTTAAAATAAAGTGCCTTTCTTGTAAAATAATACTAAATGTGAAAATTATTTTATAATCTCAATAAAAAAATACAAAAATACTAAATAGTTTCTCAACGCCAATATTTGAAAAGTTTATATGAACATTGTACTGACCTTTTAATTTCGTCGGCAGTTAACTATAACTTAAATTCGGGCACGAACTCTACTGTAAAGTCCTCATAAAACATTTTCTTTACTTTTACTGTGAAAAACTGCAATTTTCAAGATACATTTCGATTTATAACCTTTATATTGTGTTTATAAAATGTAAAAATGTGACATTTGACAGTTTCCCCTGTTCTTTCATAGATGGCACTCTTTACAAATTTTTGATTTAAATCATTTTAAGATAATAATAAGTTTTTGTCGTAGAAAAAGTATAGTATGCACCTCGTTTATAAACTTTTCTATACACTCATTAACTTAAGCACTCGCTCGCAAGCTCGCTCGTGCCTAAATTAAATTCGTGTATAAAATGGCGTTTATCAAACTTGAAACATAATATACTATTATAAAAGTATAGATAATTTTAATAATTGACAGATAGATAAGATAAATCTTTTTTTTGTCCCGTCCACACCTGTCAATTATTAAAATTATCTCTACTTTTATATTTTTGCGTTTTTTTTATTTAATGTATAGCCTAATAAAAGAAGAATATTTTTGCCAATTTTGATGCCAAAATATTATATAATAAATTATATACAATTTTTTTATAAAAACAGTTTTGTAATTCGTGCGTTTCGCGCGCCTGAAATGACCCTATAGTCAATTTTGATAGGCCGTTAAAAATTCTAATCGTAAAATGTGTTTGGGACATTTTAGTGCAATTGAGTGCAACATCATTATTGCCATTTTTCGACTTAAAAAAAATTACTAAAATGCCTAAATGCTTGCCTTTATTTTATTTAATGGCCGTTTTTTTATCTAAAAAAAATCGTTTTTAAATTATCATTGTCATTTATCCGGCCGGAGCCGAAGGTGTGTGATTTTATTAAATAAATGTATAAAAATATATCCTTTGGCTTCAGCTAAAATTAACCGAATGTTTAGCCGAAGCCCACTTACACTAGGAAATTTGGGGATTAACAGGCAGTCTGTTAAATGTTCGGCTTTGGCTCAATTTAAGCCAATCACAGTGCCTAATATGGACATATCAAGCACCGTGATTGGTTAACGTAAGACGCAACCCTTAAAAGACAGAATACGCGGCGACATGTATTGTAGACCTGGCTTTAAACTTTTATGAGATATCTGCATTCTTGATAAATGTTTATTTAACTTCCATAACCATGTTGTGTGTATTTATTATCTTTATTGTTCTTTCATTTATAAATAAACAGCATTATTATTGTTACAATAAAACGCCATAAATTATAAAGTTTAATTGTTATACACAGTAATTAACATTCATGAAATATTTTCCTCATTAGCAAAAACTTAGCCTTACTTTGTTATTCCTAAAAATAAACATTAGAGAGAGGATTTTATAAACAAGGGAGGAATTTGATGTCGCAATAGTTTGCGTGTATGATAAAATGTTTTTAGTTACACGTCAGGACAATTTATTATTTTTTTGTCACAAAAGGTGCGTCTTTTATTAGAAAGCGACACCTAAAAATTTAAAAAATATACTGTATTCTAAATATTAAAACTATTTTAAACGTGTAGAGGTTTAAAATTTATTTTTGTAATTCTATACAACAAAATATTATGGGTGATTCTCATATAAGTGTTCGATTTGTGTCCCCAAGGTATTTTACATGTCCAATACTTATAAAAAAATGTATTACTAAGAAATTTCTAATAAGGAAACGTTATTCTTTCGATAAAAAATTAAAAGTTATAAAACAATTAATTTTTGGGCTTAAAATATTTAAATAAACAGCAAATTCGTCATTTCGGTAACTGTCCCTGATTATATTTTAATAATAAAGCTCTTATAAAACTTAAGTTTAACCTATAAATTCCATTAAATGCAATTTTTTTTAAAGCTACAAGTTTGATGTACAAGAATAATACGTTTGTATAAAAAAAATTTAAGTAATACAGTCAATAAAATTGTTATTTGCATGTCCCGGCACAATACCGTCATTTCGCTAACGATATTGGACGGCACTGTAGCGCCATCTAAATGTGCACTACTATAGTTAGTGACTTTAATAGTTTGTGTCGTAGTGTGTGTACTTTGTGCAAAAGAGGTAAGTTTTAGAATTAATTTGTTCACTTTTTTATAAAATTGATTGGTAATTCAATAACTGTTAACGTACCCTTAATGTCGATCAACTCGGTAACGCACAATTTTCTGTTTTATGACTTGGATACTATTTTAATGTTCAACACAATGATATGATGCGGCGTCAGTAACGTAACCTCAAATTTTTAGTTTGATGGTGGCAAATTTAAATGGGTTTCGTTTAGTTATAACTCAATTTCATCATTTCGGTAACAATCATTCCGGTAACAAACGTTGTCGTTACCGAAATGATCATGCGTTACTGAAATGATGCCATCATGAAAATTAGTTAAAAGTTGTTATTAAACGCTTTAAAGCGTAAAATCTTTCAACTACCTAGTTTTTGTATCTAAAAAACTTTCCACAAGGACAGAGTCATTTTGGAGAGCATTTTGGTTCTGCTTATTGGAAAAACAAGTGCATTTCTTTTGATATTCTGAGACATTTTGGGGAATTTGTGTTCATTTTTATAGGGGTTTTAGTATATTCCAGTATACCTAGGTACTTTAAGATTTTTATTTGCCATTTTCTTTTTGATTTTATTAATAATCAGTTATTATTGGTACACAAGGGGTAATATAAAGTTTTGTTTTGACCCTTCTGTTCGACATGTAAATTATTGCATCTGATAGAAAAAATAATTTAAACCATAAAATTAAATGTGTACACGCCTATTTCTAGATAGAGTAAGACTTATGGATGTTAAGTACGAAAAATTGAAGAACCGTTTGAAAATAGATCGTGAAAAAGCAGCGCGAAGACAAGATGAAGAGAAAAAAGATGTCAAGGCAAAAATACAGACAAATGAGAATGATAAATCTTCGGAACTAATGGAACTACTAAGAGCGAAGGAAGAAATAGAAGAGAAGATTAAAAAAATTAAAGAATCTAAAAAATAATTATTCACCAAGAAATTATTGTAAAACCGTCCTATCCCAAAACGACTTTGCCACTGGATGAAAGTTTGCTTAATAAGTGGAATGGAAGACTTTGCTTTATTTGCACCTTTTCCATAAACTCATCCAGGAATGGAATTAAATGCAAACATTGCATTCGAACCTTTCACGTGGAATGTATTTTGAGAAAACAAATAGGCACCATTTCCGATCCACCGAATTTTTGTTGCAAATCTTGTTTAAACAAATCGTTACAAAAAGTTTAATATGTTAATAAAAGTTTTTTACTAGCTTTGGAATTTCTTGATTCTTATTTATATTTATATTTCTTACTTGGTAATAAACCATCGTCATTTCGGTAATATTGTAATTTCTTTAATGTGGCAGTTTACCAGGACTAATTGATAAATAAAATAATATGAGCTTCTCTAAAAATTTTAAAATTATAGGGCATACATTAATATTTATGAAAAAAGGTAGCATTCTAAATACTATGAAACTTGGTAAGAAAAAAAGCAAACATTAGATTAAAAAAAGATAAAAATCAACAAATAATGTTAAATACAGCGAGTTATTTTCAATTCAAATAAAAATAAATGTATGTATTTATAATTTTTAATAGTAGGGATATTTACCTTCAAAGTTTTTTACTTTTGATAAGAGAGCTGACAAGAAAAATATTATTGAGTTACTAAATGTCTTCGTTACCGAAATGACGAAATTATCGTCTTTTCCATCCAAAAAGTTGTCTATATGCTAAACGCCTATTTATCTTGCGTGCCCAAATCAAAAATAAATATATCAAGGGCACCAGATCATTACAAAATTAAAACTTAACCCGTTTTAGAAAATTATTTTTTTGCTAGTCGCTCGTCGAAATCGGACACTTATATGATATATACCCTTATATTTTACATAGCAAATTAGTCTTGTTTTCTAAGCTTTTAAAATTTAATACATATTTATAATGAAAACATATATGAAAGAAGACTTACCAAGTTATAAGGTTTATATTTAATTCTTGCAAGCTCTTCTTTTTTAATGAAGCTCTTTAAAATGTATAGACTAAAATTAGCATAATCAAGATTTTTATCCATTGGAAGTGTTGGAAATTTTGCTATTAAGAGTCTATAAAAATGTGAACAAGCTAAGAGTCATAATTTATTTTCAAAAATCTAAAGAAAATATACTAATTTTACGCAAATAAAATAACATAAAATAACATTAAATGGTCTGAATATAAACTGCAGGGAGAATAAAAACAAATTTGCATGCAGTCTTTAAATTTAACTTTCGAAGCCTTTTTTTAAGTAAATAAGGTGTTGAACCGTAACAAAATTTCGGTCCATGGACCGGTTCGCCAGCGGTTTAGTTCCAAAAACGGTCCATGTAACTACTTAAACTTAAAAATAAGCAATTAATAAGCACTTGAACTTTCTAATTGTTGTTAAAATAAAGTAATAATTTGGATATTTCAATAACCATCAGAAATTTCAAGTGCATATTAATTGTTTATTTTTAAGTTTCGGATAGTTATGCAATATTAATTTTTTGTGACAAATTAAATTGTCTTTAAAAATATGTAAAAATATACAGGGTGTCCCATTTTAAAAAATGTTATTATTATGTTTTCATCAAATTCACTATAATAGTTTTTTTAATCCATAGAAAGCCAAAAAGTGTTACCCAAGGTTAGATTTTAAATACTAGAATTCAATATTACTAAAATAAAATTGTTAAATCTTTGAAATGTGAAATTGTTGGTTCTAATTTTGGAGATACCGTGTACAGAATCTAAAAAATAAGTAGTTGGTTATAATGGTCTAGGTTATTATATATAATTAAATAGGTCTTTTGAAGCTGATATAAAATAGATATTTTTCCTATAGGGTAAAAAAAAATTGGCGGCGTCATTTTTTAAATTTTTAAATTTTTTTTGTGCCAAAAAGTTGTCTTTAATGAGAAGACTAGCATACTAAAATTGAAAAAATGTTCGACGCCATTTTGAATTTTTTTACGTCAAAAAGTAGTTCTTATTGTCCGGTTTAACATACAAAAATGTACAATTTCTAAATCAAACGAATAAAAATGTTTTTTTGTATCTTTTTGTTTTTAAGTAATTAAACTTTTTTAATACAAGTTAAGAAAATGCTAAAATAATCACTCAAAAGGCATAACCAAATCTAAAAAAAGCTAAAATTTTGTTTCTGTATCTTCTAGTGAAAATTTTTAACACCCTGGAACTTGGAAACAAAATCCTCTTTATATCAATTTTTTTTTCAACTGTTAAACTTTCTGGTTTACCCTGTATGTACATACATGTACATGCTTGCAAATATAATATGGGACCTAACTGCTCTTGACAATCTTTCTTTAAAACTAAATTTGAGATGAGTAAAAGAAAAAAATGTTAAATCAATTTATAACTGGAATTAGACGAATTTAGGACTGTAGTTTACGGGTCAATTCAATTTTTGACTTTTTATATTGATCTCTCCCAGTATTTTTCTCCTCAATTCTTTAATTAGATTCAAATACGCACACATTGAATACTCTTTAATTTTTTGCATGAAATAAGTTTTTTAAATTCTGTGAAATACCCCTTAATATATTGGGCGTTACAAACATTTTCCATATTTTGTGTTGTTTTTTAACACATTTATTCTTTAAATAAAGTTTTGTAATATAACAAAGCTTTATATTTAGTAAATAAATGAATAACTCTTCCTTATTATATAAAAAGAAATTTTGTTAATTATAAGTTATATAACATTGTTATATCTGCGATCTTGATAAAATTAAAATTTAAAATAAATTATTCTTTCGACATTTTTTCTTTGATGACTCATTCCTTATATGGAATTCTTTATCTTTTACACCGACCAGTTATGTCAGGAATTTCGTCCCATATTATTCGAGAAATGACTAATGCCGAACTTTTTAATATCCGGAACTAAATTGACATTGAAGAGAAAAAAAAGTCAATAATAATAAAATCGATTTTGCTCATATTTGGTCGCAGATTTTATGATATCTATTTTTTTGATGTCATATATTTTTATTTTAAGATTGCAGCAGTATATAAGAAAATTAAGTTAAGTACCACATGTGATCTAATCTTCAATCGTCATTATAGTAATATTGCAGATGTTAATCATATGCTCGTTTTGTAATTTTTTAATAGAGTAATTTTGTTGTTAAAATAAAACATTTTATTTCCTACCTAAAATTGTCTTACTACAACCAATTTTAAATTATTAAAAAATGACATATAACCATACCTTATGAATCAGTTAAAAGATCATAAAATAATTCATAGAAAATCACGACAATTTTAAAGTAGGTATTATAAGTATTTAGTAATACATAAGTACTAGGAACAGAAATTTTGTTATTTTACAACTGAGTGACTAATAATATATAATACAATTTGGGTAATAAGCGTACGATTGCAACGCGTTGAGGCATTATTTATGGAATTTATAATGTCGAAAATATGTATAGGTGTGGGTAATTGTATTATGAAACGTATTTATTGCTTTAAAATAGAATTATTCGTTTAATTGTTGGGTTTTAAGAGAATAATATTACCTACTGTGTTGGTAAAAAACTACACCTAGGGGGCACCACAGGTCTAAGGGGGCACCTGTTAAGTCTTCTCCACAGACAGCACTGTGGTCTTCTCCTATTTATCGGATTTGAGCCATTTTTTTAAGTATTGCTCTTTGAAAGATGACATAGTTGACAAAACATTGATTTTTTTAAATCATCCCATATAAAATCATAGATACAGGCACCCATTATACCGTCTTGGTATCAATGAATTTAATAAACTATGTTTTTGTAAAAAGGATACATATATTTTGTCTTTTTCGTAACGTAGCCTCAGGTTTTTGTTGATGACTTCCTCGTCTAGGACAGTCAATCTGGTCATGTCGGGGACACCATTTTCGGGGACAGTCCCTGAAAAAAATACAGTATTAGAAAAATACAGTTTTCCTATATTAAAAAAATCCTGCTGGCATCTTATACTATTTACCATACAGGGTGCACCAAGTATCCTATTTGTATACTTATATGGGTATTTTTTTTGCATAATTACAAGCCTATTAACATAAAATTTATCATATGAAAAACAGCGGTCCTCAGAATATTTGAAAAAAAAACAAAACAAATCGTTATAACTTTGTTATTCCTAAGAATTTTGAAACAAAGTATATTATTATTATTTAATAATAAAAAAATCGTTTGAAAAATAACTTTTAGGGAAATTTTTTTTAAGTAAATAAAAAATAGGCTTTTTAAGATCTTATTTTTGTTAGTATACCCTGAAAATTTTGTACAACATGTACATGTTCGTTTACTGCAGTAACGAAGATACAGTGCTTCAAAATAAGTAAAAATTACCCCTTTTTGATTATTTTGCTGAAAAGTGGTTTTGCGACGACTTATTTTCGTTACTGTTCGTGATTTGTACAACATTTTTAGGGTATACCTACAAAAATACGGTATTTCACAGCATATTTTTTTACTTCAAAAAAATCCCTATAAAAGTTTTTTTTAGCGTTTTTATTATTATTAAATAAAAGGGCTTTAAGGATATTTTCTCGAACAACCCTTGAACACGTAAACTGAGATATAAGTTAAATTATTTTTATCCAAAATTGTATAAAGATTGGTAAAGGCGTTTTAAAGTTAGATTTTTTTTACTTATTGTGCGTTAATTTTGACGGACAGTGTATATTTTTTTGCATCAAAATTGTCAAATATATTCTTCTTTTATTAGGCTATACATTAAATAAAAAAAACGCAAGAACTATTTTCTAAAAGTAGAGCTAATTTCAATAATTGACAGGTGTGGACGGGACAAGATAAATCTTTTTTTGTCTCGTCCACACCTTTCAATTATTAAAATTATCTCTACTTTTATGAAATATTTGTGTTTTTTTTATTTAATGTATAACCTAATAAAAGAAGAATATTTTTAACAATGTTGTAATTGTGCGTTTCCGCGGCCGTTTTGCATTTTTTTCGTATTATCTTTTGAATAAAATGCAAAAGTCAATTTTCCGCCGGATTATTTTTTCCGAGAATTTTAAAACCCTTAAACCTCTAAAACTTACTTTTTTCAAAAGTTATAAAGATTTCTGGTTTTGACAGGTTTTCAGCTTTTTTTAAAGTATTTGAGAACCGCTGATTTTTTTTTCCACACGTGTGGATTGTGGTATAACCATTAATTAAGGTACAGTGGCGGACACAGAATTTTGGACGTTATAATTTGGTTGTCCATGTATAAATTTGTATATAGCAAATTTTTGCTTTCGCTGTCAAAACGACAAGACTAGTGATAACCGAAAGTAAGGTTAGTTGGCCATAAAGGAATTTAAGATTTTAATATTAATTGAACGAAAGCCGTTCAAAATTCCGTGTCGGCCACTGTACTCCTCACTTCACCATATAACTGAATATGTATATAAGGACCACAGAAGCCAAGTGGTACCCCTTGGTAACCCCTTTGTACCCCGGGTACAAGTACATTTTGTTTAGTTTTGAGATAATCATGTTTAAAGTAAAAAACACTTGTAATTTGTAGTCAAAATTGTTTGTTGTTTTATGACTTTGTTTGATGTTCAAGCTTAGAATTCAGTTATATCCCTTGGATACCAAGTAAAATGTACCTTTTATTATCTTTTTCTGTACATAACTACATTTTTTTTAAATGTCACTTGATTTCCTTGGCTTCTAGGGTCCTCATATATAAGTTGTTCCCTTTATTATTTTATTTTTCTATGAACAATTTATATTTTAACAAAATGACATTACATGGGAAGAAAAAAACGTTAAAATGAGAATTTCGGTCAATTATTGCGTTAAATAAATATGTACCTAGGTACATACCTATATAGAAACTACATATATTGAAATTAGCTGTTATTGACTTTTTTACAATTTTTTTATCAAATTTTCCAAACCATGCAAGCTGGAATTCATCATGACGAGGTGACTCTGTTAATATTTTTATATTGTAGGTATCTCCAAAATTATTAATGCTTTACATTGAAATAAAAAAATATCCACATTGTATTTTTTACTTGAGATATGAGATATGAGTCATGCAAAGAAATATATTAAATATACCTAGGTACCTAAATAATTTTGTGAATAAAATCATAATCATAATGTACATAATGTAGGTACCTACATATATGTAACTATAGTTGTGGGGTAATATAAAAATTATGTTTTCAGAAATTAATACACAAATGTATTACTTATACTATTATACTATATAGTATTATTATAATAAGTACCTAAACGAATATTTTATCGGATGGGAAATTATGATATCATTATAAAAATATTTGGTTTGGTAAATTCCGAGTTTCTAGAAAGTATGTACAGGGTGCACCAAGAAACCTTCATAGGTTATAACCTGTGAATTTTGAGTAAGATTCCCAGAAATAACGAAGTTATAACGAATTTTGGATTTGACAGGTCTTTAGTTTTTTTTTAAATTATTTAAGAACCGATAATTTTTTTCAATTTTATCAATCCCATTTTAATAGACTTTAAATCTACGAAACTTTTCTCTAATTTAACAGACTTTGTAGATCTTCAAATAAAAAAGATACCAATACTTACATAGAAGAATACTTAGTACAACCTGTATAACTTACACAAAAAATAAATATTTTTAAAACCTAAGTAACAAGTAACAAAAATGTTTCAAATAATTTTGTGTAATAAAAATTACCTCGAAAATTACTGAACACATAAAATTAGGGATATTATTTAAATTAATTTAAAACATTGAAATTTATTTATAATTAACAACTCAACAACAAATGTACCTATCTATTCCTAAACAAAATTATTGAACAAAAGACACTCTAAACATAAAGTTAATAATAAACCCCTAATGCACTTTTAATAGTGCTCGGTAATTTTATCTCGCATACACTCTATTTAAAACGATTTTTTCCATATTGACCCAATTCCAAACATATCTCAACAACACAATTTAAAACCCATCAGTTCCAACAGCATTATCTGCAAGCAAATTCCACCCGACTTTAAAATAAAAAGTCGGACAACCCGAAAAAAAATTAAAAAACAAATACTTAGGTTAGTATTTCAACTTAAATTTTAAGTCAATTTTAGAATTGTATTGAAGTCTACCTATAAATAGCCGAATTTATGTTTTCGTTTACTTATAAACCGGAAGATGCAGTAAATTTAATATTTAAAGCACGAAGTTTTTTGTGAAAACCCAATGAATAATAAATAATTAATTAATTCATTTAAATTAAGTGCTAGAAACGCAGCAGAGTAGGTAGTTAAACAAAATTAATGTTAATGTAGTTTGGATCTTTAAACGGAAGTTTAATGATTAAATAAAAAATAATCTAATTCCAAATAATTTTAATAAATAAATGATTATTTTTCATTATCCACCAAATTTCTTTAAATTTCGCTTTAAAATTAGCATACCTATAAAATTTAAAGAACTTGCAAAATTTACCTGACAGATCTACACAAAAAATAATCTGCTGCAGCAGATTATTTTTTGTGTAGATCTGTCAGGTAAATTTTGCAAGTTCTTTAAATTTTATAGGTATGAATCATGATTCATAAATATCAATAGAATATAGTGGGTACCTATGTAAAACTACCTGCTGTGTACCTACTTATGTAAATTGTCAGCAAGTTATTCAATTTGTCAAGAAGGCTACAATTGTCATTTATTGTCAATTGTTTGTTCAATATAAAAATGTATGTTTCCCGTAAAAAGATTATATATAAAAAGAATATAATCTGCTTAGTTGCCAGGTTGGATGTTCTCCCCAGTTTTCTTAAATAGGTATGTTTTTATTTTTGTTACTTTTTAAATCTGTCAATTTTTGACGTTTAAGGTCAAAAATTAACAGATTTAAAATTTATTATTTGTTTGATTGTTTTTGAAATGTTAAATTAGGTATTTCTTGGCATTTTAGTCACAAGCTGAAGTTAGCAATAGTGGCTTTTGGACAGTTTAGTCGCGGGCTGAACTTAGCAATAGTAGCTTATGGAAATTTTAGTCACGGGCTGAAGTTAGCTTTATTATAAACAGATGTCAAATGTTGAACAAATAAAATTGGCTTCTTTGTGTTCGTCGTAGATAAAGTAAAGTATGCAACTCGTTTTATAAACTTCTCTAGACACACTTATTAAACACTCGCTTGCAAGCTTTGCTCGTGCCTAATAAAACTCGTTACTAAAATGGCATTTATAAAACTTTATACATATATGTATAATATACTATTAAAATGTTTTGGCACGTCTATGGGTGATTTAAATGCCCAGGTACCAAATGGCACGTGTCTCGGACAGCTGCTACTTATAATTATCCCTTAAAAAACATTTCAAAGCAGGTATAATTCGTGGTTTTCAAAGATATCTCATTTTTTCTCTAGGATAATAGGTAGAAATTAAGTGTTTAATATGACTTTTCACTGGAAAACTACTTGAATTTTCTCGAAACACACCCTTAAGGAGTTCTTGATAAAAAAACACCGTTCTCGACTTAAAAAAGGAAACTATTAAAGGATGTCAAGTGTAACACGGTCTCTAGATTTAAAACAAAACAGAATTTCGCCCCGCTCAGCTGAACACCAGTGGCAAGGGAAAACGCAAATGTCAATTCCGCCCTTTTCCATAAGGGTGGCTTGCGGCGATTATTGACAATCCAAGCCCAAATTCACTTACCCGTCGACGAAAAATCCAATTCTACCATCGTGTTGATCAATCAGCCAACATATCCGAAAAAGTTTTCATTCATAAAACTCACACACACAAATTATAAACTAATGCACGGACATGTCGCGGGACAAGCGGTCTACATACACGTCTAACGCGAACGAACTTCCACAACAAAATAGAAGATAAAAAATGCTGAGCAGTGGAAAGATTTCAATCTGCAAGTTGGCGGTTGCAGCGCTATCTTACGGGACATTCCCATTTCTTTTAAATTAACTACAGAAACCTATAATTTTATAAATTTTATTAAATTTCTTTTTAGTAACAATAAAACCTAAAAAAACAACAATAACAATTAATAGAAAACAAAGACAATATTGTTTTAATGACGTAATATACCCAAAAATATTGTTTTTTAAAAAATTACAAAATAAAAACAACTGTCAAACCATAACCTTAAATTGGTGACTGACACGACACTACAAAAACTCATTTTAAAAGCAATTTATATCCTTAATTTTCAGTAAATTTTTGTTACAATAAAATGAAGATTCGTTTTAACACATACGATATAGTATGTTCCGTTGCCGAGCTTCAGAGGTAATCATAAATTTTTTTTTTTAAATACGTATGTTTTTCTATACCAATTTTAGCTTGATTGGCATGAGAGTGAATAATATTTACGACATAGACAACAAAACGTATCTAATACGTTTGCAAAGAAGCGAGGAAAAAGCTGTAATTCTTTTAGAATCCGGAAACAGAATACACACAACAGCTTTTGAATGGCCAAAAAATATTGCCCCTTCGGGCTTCAGTATGAAGCTTAGGAAGCACTTAAAAAATAAAAGACTTGAAAGTTTAGCACAACTAGGTACTGACAGAATTATAGATTTGCAATTTGGTTCTAGTGAAGCTGCTTACCATGTTATTTTGGAGTTGTATGATCGGGGAAATATTGTACTCACTGATTATGAGTTTACTATTTTAAATGTGCTTAGGCCTCATACAGAGGGGGATAAGGTTAAGTTTGCAGTTAGAGAGAAGTATCCACAGGATAGAGCTAGGGAAATTAGTTTAATTAGTAAGGAAGCTCTTTTGGATATTTTGAGTAAAGCCAAAAATGGGGATCAGTTGAAAAAAGTTGTGGTTTCTAATACAGGTAAGATTTTTTTTTAAAATTGCCATAAAAAAACTTATTTAACAGGATTTTTTTATTTTTATCAATTATAAAAATTTTAATTTGTTATCAATAATTGTAGTTATATACTTTAGTTGTAAAGTTTTTTAAATTATTTATTGGAATAATTAGGTTTTTAGATTCCCAAATAACAATTGTAATTTCATGTTTTGCTCGCGGCGCGCACTGGGGCGAGGAAATGTAATTTAAAAATACCCACTTATACCAATTAAGTACTTTACTTACTGACCCACCTTTCGGCAGTATTTAAAACGTTATGCATTAGCGTTTCTTCGAGAATATCGATTTTAAGTATTTCTTAAAATATTTCTCTTCACATGATAAAAGATTACTACATTTTTTTAATTGAAATATTTAACGTTTGAAACACTTATACCTAACACTAATAAAAATTACGAATTAAAGTAAAAAAAAAATAATTCTTACAAGAGCTAGTCCTGTAAATATTTATCATATATAATTTGTTTTAGCAACTTAGTTTTATTTAAGGCCAGAGTTATTAGGGTTATTTGCGCACTGTGCGGCGAGATATTCATGCGTGAGAGTAAATGAGGCGATTATTTGCAAAAGTCTCTAATCTACAAATTCACTTTTTTTGCTAATTTCATCAGATTTTCGAAAAGGAAAGTATTGCCACCTTTAAAACGTTTAAAAACTGCTTCTTTGTTATATAAAATCGGTTAAAGAGTTATCGGTTATTTGCAAAACTCTTTCTTTACATTCATTTAGCTGCTTAGCAAGAAGTGGATAAAAATCCCATTATTGGTTTGCTGGTTAAACAATATGGATAAAACTACCAGAAGTATTCTGGTAGTTTTATAAGCCTTTTACAAAATTATTGGAGATCAAGCTTAATGTTTAAAAAAAATGAAGATCAAGAGTTGAGTCAAAAAATTATTTAATTTTTTTTGTTTGCATACAAATTATTGTTTGTTTGTTAATAAATTGTTAATAAATTAACGTTTAACTTCACTGTGTTAACCTTTTTCTTTTCAAAACTCTCTATTTGCAAAAAACAATTTTTTTCTTAAAAACTAGGAGATTCATATGTACGATTATCATATTTATTATATTGGAAAAAAATAAATTGAACCGAAAAAATAATTTGCGTTCAAGCTAAAAAGTTTTTTGTTGCCCCTAAAAAGTAAACCAAGTATAGCAAAGAGAGAATTTTTCAAATAGTTATAGTGGAATTACACGTGCGAATTTTACTCTCACTCGTGAGTTGACTGTGAGCTCAAAATATTTTACCACGTGCCCAGTACTGGGCAGAAGTGCGAGCAAATATACCTATATCTAGGTATATACAAGAGAAATCAAACGCGCAAACTTGTAGTATCCATAGTGTACACTGAGAAAAAAGTTTATTGCTCGCAAATAAAGAAAATATTTAAATATGGGACAAGGGTACAGTTTATTTATGCTAAATATATTTTTATTCCAGACACAAGTTTTACTAAAGTACATTTATCGTTATTATTTCGACTATTTAGAGGTAATAAACAATATATTCACTATTAATAAAAGTATTAGGTACACAGTTTATTTGTCCCATTTTTTTCTCAGTGTACTCTTGGGAGTTTTTGAACGCGCTCAAAGGCGCGCCGGCCAAATTTATGCTGACCTTAAAGGCCGTGTACCTATCTTACTCCAAACTTTAAACAGCTAGCTCAGAAGAAAATATGTCATTTAATCTATTTTATATAGAGGAAGGGCATAGGAGAGAAATATATATTTGCACAAGTCTTTATTAAATATTATATTTAAAATACCTTATTTATATATATATTATTATTTTTCATTTAAGCAGTCCGGACTGCAACAATATAATATTCTGATAATTTGGACCTCCAATAAAACTAATTGGTGATCCCTGCTCTAGTATGTCACTTCCACATTTGAATCAATCTTAATTATACTAAAAGTGACATCAATTTTACGTCATGTGGCAAGAAAAAATAAACATTGCAGCAAGATGTGGATGCGAATATACCTTCTTTTAAGCACCATGAATTTGTCAATTATATTTTTAATTTTAAATTTCTAAATATTGCACGTTTTGTATTTTAAAATTATCTGATTTATTAGTTTTTTATAATTATTTATGTAATATTTATTATAATGTTTAGTGATTTTTTTATATCTTTAAATATTTATATATAAATTACAAGATTGTATTGGAATATTTAGGTTTTGTTCACAAAATTTGTATTTTATTTCATATTTGGTAGTTTATGTCATTAGGCCAAGAAGTTTTAGGGCCGACGCGTAGCTGAGCAAAGCACAAAAATTACTTCTGGGCCGAATGGCAAACAATATTTTATCTTCAAGTTATAAGGTTTTTTTAGAATATACAGCCAATTTTATTTATTAAACAATACATAAACGTAGAAACACAAGTTAGAACTGTGATTTGTCCAAATCACGCTGTATAAAAAAATCGGCCAATCACTGAAGCCTAAGTGTTGACGATAATAAAGTTTAATTTATAGACCGCTTAAAAATATTAAAAAGTACCCAATAGATTGTTTCTTATGGGTACTTTTTAATATTATTTTAAATTTAAATTGTTTTTTTATATTTTTTAATACTAAATCGTTTTTAATTTATTATTAAAACCTGTATTATTTTGTATTAACAATTAGCAAGTATGAGGCCTGTCAGAGCAAAGTCAACAATCTCCCGTCAGACTAAAACTGAGTAAATTGAGATAATTGATTTTAGTATTTTAAATTCTAGATTTTTAATTTTTTTTATATATTATATTAAAATATTGTTGTTGTTAGTCTAGTAGCCAACTACAAGGTCTCCAGGATGCATAGTATAGGTGAAATCTGTAATTACAAATTGGAGATTGCTGATATGAATTGCTGGAGATTTCTTATTTTGTTGGAAACGTTTAAGGAGATTTAGAAAAATAAACAAAAAAATAATTGTATTTTTATTCCTTTAATGGTTATAAAATTTAACTATTCAATCAATTTGGGAAAATTCTGAACTGGACCACATAAATCTGGAGTTTCTTGTAAATCTGGGACCAGGTTGCCTTGTGCAAAAAAGTTTTTATATTACAACAACTCATCATCTTCTTTCCACTTTGCTCCGTAATGTTTTACTTGCAATGTTTTGACATTATCAGCCTTTTCTTGCTTTACCTTTACGTCTTATTATGGTATAATAGCACAAAATAAACAAGATAACTTTTTTTATAATTCTTAAAACAATAAAACGTTTATATACCTATTTTAAATATATTTTTTAGTGCAATTTACTGCAATAGAACTTAACAGTAAAAAACACAAAATTAAATCTCTAAAATACGGTATAACATCAAATGTTAGGGTATCAGGTGACACTAATTACTAATTTCTAATGGTGGAATTGGAGATTGTATACTTTGCTGAAAATCTATCAGTGGAGATTGTCGACTTTGCACTAAATGTCATTTTTAAAATAGGATTTTAGACAAGATTTAGCTCCTTTTGCAGCACATAAACTTTATCATCCTATAGATAATTAGTTGAAGTACAGTCTCCGCCAAAAATCTAATTTTTGACCAAAAGCGGAGATTTTCGGTTTTGCTATGACCGGCCTCGTATATAAATAAATTTTTAAATGTACATTAAATAAAATCTAATAAAACTTATAGAGTATGGTCCAGCTCTTTTGGAACATGTCTTGCTAAAACAAGGTCTCCCGAACTCTACAAAAATTGGGAAAACTTTCGACATATCAAAAGACATAGACACTCTTCACGCTGCTTTAACAGAGGCTGAGCAAATATTCTCTGAATCAAAAAAGTCCCACACTAAAGGCTACATAATACAGAAAAAAGAGGAAAGAGTCGCCACAGATGATTCAGGAGCTAAAATAATGTATTCAAACCAAGAATTCCATCCTATTTTATTCGAGCAGCACAAATTGATGCCCTTTAAGGAGTTTGATAGTTTCAACCAGGCAGTAGACGAGTTTTATTCCACTGCGGAGGATCAAAAATTGGAGTTAAAAGCTTTGCAGCAAGAGAGGGACGCCATGAAGAAATTGGAGAATGTTAAAAAAGATCATGGGCAAAGATTAGTTGCCTTGGAAAAAACTCAGGAAGTTGATAAGCAGAAAGCTGAGTTGATTACCAGGAATCAAGAGTTGGTTGATAGAGCTATTTTGGCTGTGCAATCAGCTGTTGCAACACAAGTAATATAAAAAAATGTTATATTAAACAGAAATATTTTATTATTATTTTTTAGATGGATTGGGCAGGTATAGAAGATCTTGTAAAAGATGCAGCTTCAAAAGGTGATATAGTGGCTCAAAAAATAACAAAACTAAAGTTGGAAATTAATCATATTACATTGCATCTCGATGATCCTTATAAAGAGCTGAATGATTCTGATAGTGAAAATGATGAAAATGATCATATACCTTCGATGTCCGTCGATATTGATTTGGCACTTACTACTTTTGCTAATGCTAGAAGGTAAGAGAAATAAACAAAGTGATTTCTAATGTTCGAAAATTTAACCTTTACCTAATTTTGCAACAATTTTATGAATACTACTTTTTTTATATGTTGTTTTTAAATAATACTTATCATTTTTGAGGTTTTATTTTTTATTGAAATTTTTACTTTTTTTATCTTTAGATTTCATTCAACATTTTTAAACTTATTTGATGAGTTTTTACATTTTAGTTAAATTTAAAATTATTGATTTTTTTTTGAATTTTTAACTTTTGTATAATATTTATATTGTTTTCTAAAAATGTGTGGTTTATTTTATGGGTAGATTGTATATTAAAATGTGTTTTTTAATTTTTAACTTTTTTTTTGGGGCTACTTTTACACAATGTCTTAAACACGGTTGCCCAGTGTACTCAGCTCATATTGAAAAAATTGTACATAGGTAATATTATCTACTGAAACATGTCGCTAATGTATAACTAGATCAAAAACAAACAGTTTTTTGAGTTTCACGAATTTATTGAATTTGACAGTTGTTTTGCTAACCCAATAGCTTCTTCTGAAGATTATTTAATTAAATTTTTGAACAAAAATAGGTTATAATACCCGGCGAAGAAAGCTTATTAATTGCCTCGTACACAATTTACTGCCTTGGTTATCGCCTCGGCAGTGAAATGTATGCTCGGCGATAATATGTGCTTTATCCGCCTGGTCTTTCAAACGTCCAAAATGCTTTTGTGAAATGAGTAATTTATTTATAATTATCTGTTATACAACTGTGAGTTTCATAGTACAATAAATTTAACTTTTTTGTATTGAGCAATAGGTAGGTATTGAGTTGGACATTAAAGTAAACATTTTCTATTTTGTTTAAAGATATTATGATCAAAAACGTACCGCTGCCAAAAAGCAACAGAAAACCATCGAATCGCAAAACAAAGCCCTAAAATCAGCGGAAAGAAAAACCAAACAAACTCTTAAGGATGTTCAAACCATAACCAACATTCACAAAGCCAGAAAAGTATATTGGTTCGAAAAGTTCTTCTGGTTTATAAGCTCGGAAAATTATCTCGTCATCGGTGGTAGAGATCAACAGCAAAACGAGCTCATAGTCAAAAGGTACATGAAACCTACAGACGTTTATGTCCATGCTGATATACACGGAGCTAGTAGCGTGCTTATTAAAAACCCTACTGGGCAGCCTGTACCACCAAAAACTTTAAATGAAGCTGGAACTATGGCCATATGTTACAGGTAATATACTTATGGTGTTCAGTCACTTTGCTATACAAAAACATTAGTCTGCCCTTTCCATATATCATATATCAATAAGCTTTCTGCATAAGGCTGCAATAAGGTTTTAGTTAGATTACTTAACATATTATTTTCAGTGTTGCTTGGGAAGCCAAGGTGGTCACCAATGCTTATTGGGTCTGGGGTGAACAAGTAACCAAAACAGCACCAACTGGAGAATACTTATCGACTGGAAGTTTTATGGTGAGGGGCAAAAAGAACTTCCTACCACCCTCTCATTTAATATTGGGCCTCAGTTTTCTGTTCAGATTGGAAGATGGTTCTATTGAAAGACACATTGGGGAAAGAAAAGTCCTCTCCGCCACTGAAGAAGATGCTTTGAGTGTGACTGGTAGTGAGATGGGCAAAGATGAAGTTGAAGTTGATATTATCGATGAGAGTGATGAGGATAAAGAGGCCGAAAAAGGTGAAGATTTAAAGGAGAAGAAAGAAGAAACTAATAAAGATAATGACAGTTTTACAGAAAGTGAAGAAGAATCCAAATTTCCTGATACACAGATTAAAATACAGAGATTCCCTGGTACAAAGTAAGTATGCAAAACATATATGTACATATATTTTGGATGATAATTTATTACTTATTTCAGGGTTAATATAGTGACAGATCCTGTTATAAAGGAAGAAGAACATGAAGACCAAGAAAATATTATTTATTTAGGGGATGATAAACCGATTGTCCTCAAACCAACCCTAAGGGCCCAAAATTCTAGAAGTAGAGGAGTCAGCGAATCAAGTTTAAAACAGTTCAAACCTCAAGAAAAACGTGAGCAACCGTTTTACATAACATTTCAATATTTAATCATTTTGTTTTAGTCACAAAAGAAGACAATACAAAGCAGCAACAATCCAAACGTGGCCAAAAAAGCAAGCTTAAAAAAATCAAGGAAAAATACAAGGACCAGGACGAAGAAGAGCGTAAGTTGAGAATGGATATTCTTCAATCCTCAGGGGCCAGTAAAGAAGTAAAAAAGAATAAAAAAGGTAAGGATGTACATCAAGGAGGTAAAACTCAGAAAAAAAGTGAGCCAAGACCTCAGAAAACATTCCAACCTAGGGAGGTAAATGATGAAGATGAACCCACTGTGCAAGCTGATGTTGATATGATAGATGCTCTCACTGGTGTGCCGCATATGGAAGATGAGTTATTGTTTGCTGTGCCCGTTATAGCTCCATATAACACTCTAGTGCATTACAAGTAAGCTTTTCTTTATATATATTTTTACGTTACTTATTAATTTTTTTGTATCAAGGTTTAAAGTAAAGCTGACTCCAGGTACAGGTAAACGTGGCAAGGCTGCACGTACGGCAGTGACTATGTTTTTAAAGGACCGTACAATTACGCAAAGAGAAAAGGATCTTTTAAAGGCTGTGAAAGACGAGCAACTGGCTAGAAACCTTCCCGGAAAGGTTAAATTATCTGCACCCAGACTCCAAGCTCTCAAAAAGTAGACTTTTAATTTATTAAATAATTTTATTGAACTTGTTTTTATAGGTAATTTATTAAGTTTAATAAACTATAAATACGGGTTTTGTGGATTATTCATCGTCGTCATCGTCATCTTCATCTTCATCTTCATCCTCTTCCTCTTCTCCCAATTCCTCTCCTCCCATTATTTTTATTGGTGGAGGTTTCGGGAGGTGCGCAATTCTCCATTCCTCCTCTTGGGCGCCAGTCGGATCCATAATCTCCATTATTTCCGGACCAATAGGGTAATCTTGTTGGACCGGTGGTAAAGGAGTGGGTGAAAAGTTGTGCTCTAAATACTTTAAACCGAAACCCAAATAAATATTTTGCCATAATTTCCCTTGTGTCGTAAAAGTATAACCTCCAGGCCATAAATTTGAACGTACTATAGCTATGGCATACTCTTCTGCTATTTTTGAAGAGCACCTTATAGACCAAGCAGGTACAGCTTCCAAAGTTGCGTCCTCAGAGCAGGGAGTTAATAATGGAGGTCCTGTTTCCGGTTCTGGACCTATCGGTTTTTCTTTTTCCTCCTCACCCTCTCCCATTTCTTCATCCATCTCCTCCCCTTGCTCTGGAAGGGGATTGGGGTTCCACCATGAGGTTCTTCCTTGTGGTAGAATATAAAGGGTATGGTGAACCCAGAAGCTCACGGACATGTCCAAAAGGTCCTTTAATGGAGGAGGATCGTATTTGGGGTTTTCAGAATACGTGGTTTTCTGTTGATCACCTCCCTCTTCAGCTTCTTCTTCCTCCTCCTCTTCACCCTCACCTTCTCCACCTGGTGAAAAAGTGTAAAAACCCAAAGGCGATATATCAGTACCTAAAACAGAATTTCATTTGGTTAGCAATTGGACAGTTTTTTAGGTGTTTTACCTGCAGATATTCTGGCAATTTGTGCCCTTAAATAATCCTTTTCCAAACCAGGAAACTCTGGATAAGTAAGCACTTCTCTATCGAGAAATCCTGAAAAAGATTTGTAAATTTGTCTGGCGATTCTGATGTGTTTTGGAGTTATATCGGGAAGTTCAATCCAGTCATCTCCAATTTCGTTACAACAAAAGTACACCTACAAAATTACATTAAAAATGTTTTTTGCATACAAATTTAAATACTTTTTTGTTGATTCCGACTCCCGATGGCTCAGATGGGGCCTCAGGAGGTTCCTCAAACAAATTTGGAGGCTCGGGAGGTAATTGTCTTGGGTACTTTGTGGTCCTATCCTCCCCTCCAATATCTTGCTGGTGTTTAAGTTCTTCTAAAGCTTTTTCTATTTCTTCTCCACTTTTTTGAAGAGCTGTTTCATCAGTTATAGGGGGTGGGGGAAGAATTTCATCTTGCAGAAGCTACATTAAATTAAAATGTAAAGATTGTATTTAAATTGATGGTTTGCAAGGTGTAATACCTTCTCGTTTCTTTTGATGTACTCCTCTTCCTTTAACTCTGCTTCCAGGATTATATAATTCTTGAATATTCCGTAAATTACACCCCAAAATCTAGTAAAAAAACATCAAATATCTATTAAAGTTGTTAGTAGATACCTACCTTATTTTAGAAATGGGTTTGGAATGTATGAGTTTTCTCATAGATAAAGTCAAGTAAAACATGTCATTTCTTGGTAAGCCTACACCAGTTTGTTCAAAATAATACAAAAGTTGCAACATGTTGTTTTTGGACATGTCTGCTATTTCCAGATCATCTGGGTCCACTGTGGAAGGTTCTCCTGGTGCCAAGGGCTTTAAAAATGAATTTTATTAATAAACATTTTTTTTCTAGGTATCGTTGGGTACTTTTAAGAAAACGCCAATTAATGGGACAGAGAGGAATATTACGTAAACATGCATTTTATGTCTGCCGTAACATGAATCTCATTCATCAATCATAAAAATTTAAATATATAACGACTTTTAAAACATCTTTATTATTTATTATTCAGATAAATCGATAATAATTATCGCCAGTAAGAAATATTTACATAATAATTTATTTTTAAGATTGAAAAAATCAGCATTAATATTTAATTACTTAATTAATGAATTTAAAATGTATTGTTTACTATAGTATAAGCAATTTTAATCAGGCTAAGTTCCTGTTTTCCAATAATAAAACTAATAAATAAACAAGATAAATGATTTTGATTATATCTATTATTGGATTGGACAAATTGCCTCTTTTATTAAATGAAGTCATCTTAAATATTGTAAGAATATAGGATTAATGCAGTTTTTTCTTTACCTTAAGAAATGGCATAATTTTGTTTGCAAAAGCAAATCTTCCAGGTGGGACATAAATATCCTCTAAATGATCCGTTAAGGGATAATATCTTCTTTCCTTCACTTTTCTGCTGTATTCTTCAAAAAAATCGATCACGTTTTCGGGGCGTTCTGCTAGGATTTTATTTAAACAGTCTGTTAAGTGATCGTACCTTAAAAAGGGTATTTTTTTATAGAAAAAAGAAAAAATATTTTAGTGGTATTTTCTTACATATTGTCTCCGGTAACAGTACTCGTTCTTTGCAGAAAAGATTTCGCGTTAACGAATTCTTGCTCATAGTTGGGGGCCACATCAGTAACATCGTCCGGATGATCCTCGCGATTTTGGATGTAATCGTAAATCATTTTTTATGGTTTTTGACAATTTTGTCTGCAATGACACTTTTAATATTTTTGAATTATTTAAGTTGTCAGCAATTTCATTACTAAAGCCTATAGGCACAATTGAGGAGCATCCGTTTCATTCGGTTTTTGTTTTTTTTGATTTCGCATCTTTGGGTTCATTTCTATCGACAACCAGGATAATTCTGTTTAAATCCGAATATATACATGTTAAAATCACATTTAAAAGGTAGCTTTAGGAGCAAAACTGGCCAAATCCACGTTTTTATAGCAAACCCGTCTATATCCAATAAATAATAATGATGATGAGCATGTGGCTTGGATATGTCGATACTACTACTAAAATTTGTTCTGTTTTTTCATGTTTTCACTAAATTTATTTTGTTAATATTTTTGAATAATAAAGGTTTTTTCACATTTTATTCTTAGGTTTTTGAGCAAAAACGGCTATAAACAATTTTTTTTTGAAATTTTGGCCTTAATATAAAGTTTTTGAAAACGTCTTATAAATCAAGTACCACAAAGCCCACAAAACACAAGTTTGCTTTTTTTTATCTGTAAAGGCCAGGAAACCGAGAGTTTTTGCCATTTTCCCAACATTTTATTAAAGTCCCAAGCAACAATTTAAGTATTTGTTACGTATATGGGACTATTGAAGAAACTTCAAAGTGTTTTGCGACAGTCGCCGGTCTCTTTATATTACTCTTTCATTACTACGTTACGACTAAAGTGGGGAACAATTATTGAGTTCCAAAAAGGTAGCAAATATGTCACTAGCTACCAACCCTGCTACTATTTGGGACGTAGCTGCTACGTTACTAGAACGTTCCAATATCGTTGCTAGAGCGTTATAATTACTTTTATTATTTGTTTTTACTTCTATATTAACTGTCTTTGTCAAACTTATATTAGATTATACTATCCCTCCTTTTTTAAATGGAACCACTACGGACTTGGCTTTTCAATGTCGTCGTTTATTAAATATGTACTGGTAGTTTATAACTTCCAGAATAACAATATAATATTTAATTAGACAGGTAGATTTATAAACCCTTTAAATTTTACTGTTGAACTTATGAATTTAGTTTTTGTAAAATAAATGCGCTTCATCAATATTTAAGTATAAACAAATTATTTATTTAGTAATGTTTATAAATAAAAAAATCTTAATATTTATTATTATTTTTTTTATTTAATTATTAATACCGTCTATTACCAACAATATTTCTATTTATTAAAAAGTAAACAACCATTTACAAACAATTAAAATAATTTATTATTTACATTACCACGTGGTACTGTACAGTAAAAAATGGCCGATAAGAAGCATTTTCCTTTGAAGTAGTTTTCGCTACTTTAAATTTTTTTTCCACTTTACGGTTGTTTTGGTTAGTACCATAAACGTTCCAAATACTAAAATAATAACTTTTAAGTTATTAACTTTGTAGTTTTTAACTCATGTTCCAGTTTCGAGATTTTAACTTGCAAAGGGACTACAAAGTAAAAATAATTATAATGTAATCTTTAGGTAGCAACCGAAAGTAACTGCTACAAATTAAATTTACTTGAAAGTTTTTTTTACTTATAACATCTTTTTTAAAGTTGCAAAGTCTTCTTGGGGGCAACCAAGTTTTACTTAAATGTTTATTACTTTATAGTAACAATTTAAGGAAAAATTAAGTTTCTGTTACAAAATATTGCTATTTAAAAGTTAGAATTACTTTTAAGTAAAAATTAAAGTAGCTGTTTAGTATACTTAACTAATTTAAAGTTATCACCACTTTGGCAATGGTTTTTGGAACCAAAAATGCTGCTTGGGGTGGATATAGCCGGTTTTGCACGAATTTGTACATTTTAAGAGTATAGTACCAACTCTTACTAATTTTACTCTTTTAACATGGCATAGCATTTTAAGAAAAAACCGAACAGGAGCAGCATTTCCTAATATTTTTTAAATATTTGGGGGACTCGGCTGTACACATTTTTGGCCAATACCTCAAACTAAGTTAAAGTGGATTTATCGGATTTTGCATGTTTGCTCCATAATTATTCATTAATAATTTTTAGGTAGTTTTTTAAGTTTTTACGATTTTTGAATTCTTTATACAAATAATATAAAGCATTTTACGCCAAATAGGAAACAAAAAAAAATTGTCTAATTTTGAAATTTGGGTATGTCATAGGCATAATATACTATACCTGCCGGACCTACATATAGGACTCAGTGGCCTTCTGGCAGTGTAGAAGGACCTTCGGAAGGACAGGTGGACTATTCCCAAAGATACTTGTTTGGTTTTATATGGCGGTTATTCGACAAAATTTATTTAATAATTTACTATGGTTATGTTAAAAATTGTTTGGTGGCCCAAAATTAAACAGACTACTGCAGCAAAACATAAAGCATTTCTAGCTATTACAAGTGACATGCGCACAACTCCAACAGCAGCCATGTAAATTATCTTGAACATTCCCTCTTTGGATTTGTTCGTAAAGCAAATGCAGTACGGTGCTAGTAAAATAATAAAGCTCCATGTAATTAAATGGAAAAGAAATAAGAATCTTGCAGACAACAGGGCTTTGATCCACAATATAGTTGATTTGGGGCTGGTAGCATAATGCATTGCTTCCTAAAAGCTAATAACAATAAACAATATTCTAAAACTAGTCCGGGTTAAAATGAAATTCCACCTCTTAAGCCTCCCCGCGGAGGAGATTCGTGGTACGGGTGGTAGCAGCGCTACCGACGGTCTTAGTCCCTTATAAGGGTTTCTTTTAATATTCATGGAGCAGTTCTGGCCTTTTCTCCCAGCGCGAATGCGAGGCCAGCTTAATTCGGGTAGCAAAATAAAATCTTGAATGTTGAAAGTGCATTCCAAAACTCGGCTTATCCATATTAGGTGATTTTGAGCAAAATGTCAAAAACCCAGGTTTTACACGTGAGTACAAACCCATATCAGGCCTACAGAATACTTTAAACGAAATAAATAGGCATAAGTATAAAATTTACGTCTACTGGATATCCTTAGGACGTCAACTCAGGACGTCCTACGGATATCCGAAGACCACGAATGGACGTCCGTACTACGGACTCCGTAGGACACTTTTGGTTGAAAACTTTTAGTTGGCCTTTGGCCGTCCTATTATGGTCTATTAAAGACCGTCCTAGGACCAAATGTGGTCATAATTTGGCTGACAGGAATAAAAAATAAAACACTTAAAATTTTTAATTAAACATTTTTATTCACCTAAGCTACAGCACAAATATTTGTGGTATAGTCTATTAGTCGAGACAAACCTAATCTAATTATTTACTTAAATTTATTCTCGATTTTATTATAAATCTGAGTACAACCAACTTCTAAGAATATTTCTATGGAGTCGTTGCCAACGACAGAACATGAACACGATCTTCAAGTTGAGTGCTTATGTTAACATACAATTGTTGTTTATGAAAAGAACATTATTAATAAAGCACGAAACAGCACTAATTGCACGTAAATACCTTCTTTACCTCTGGAAAATACCGATAAATACCAGAGCAGAGAAGAAATACCACCATATACGCCATCATAGAAAAAGACAACGGATTATGGGAAACGTCGTCACGAACCCGTTCGGTTCTACCTGAAGAAGACCGATGTTTTTAAATTCAAAACAATACGTTATAATAACGGTGTTTATATACATTTAAATAATTTAAACGATTGAAGAACGTAATAGAATTAAATTGAATTTAAAAATGATGCAATAATTGGTTTTACTATAGTAATTACCTTAAGGTATACCTTTACGTGATAACAAAATTTTAAATTAAATATAAATATATAAAACCCGGCCGACGAATAATACGAATAGTACGAATAAACTATATTTAATAATAAATAATTTAATAATAAACTTCTGTTTTTTGTAAATTAATCTTATAATAAGGTTAATCGATTTGTTTGTCTCTCTGTGACCCCCTCAGGCTGTCCCACGAACATCCAAAGAAGCCAAAAGAGTAAAAATAGGTGGTTTATATAATTCGTACTTACATGATATTTCTCACAATTTATTATAAATCCGAAAATTGCTTGACCTTAAAGTTTAGGCATGATAGACAACCCACATAGTACAAGATGTGTGCTGTGTGAAAAGGGACGTCCTATCCAGGCTAAGCCGGACTGGGTCTAGACTTGACGTCCTATAGGATCCATATATGGATGTCCCAGACCCGTCCGGCCTGGCTAAACCGAGAATAACCTAAAAAAAAACAAAAGAGAGGACCCACCTCCCACGTTCCATCCTTGGTAGCTGAAGGCTAGCAAGAATGCCTCTCTGACAATCTTTTTTCCTTTTAATTGTTTGAGCTTCAAAATTTCCTCTTTTTTGTTTTATTTTGTGCTTTATTAATATAGTGAAATGCTTGTTACAGTAAAGAATTTGCCCGAGGGCTCAGTTGGGTCGGCCTGCCATCCCAACTAGGTAATGACGTGAAGGTGAGGCCTTCTTACAAGTCGCGCGCCGACTCTAGGTCGGCATGGAGGTACCTAAAACCCTCCTTATAGCTAAAATTGTACAATTTTCTTGTTAAGTGAATATGCTACCCTGAAAACATTGGTTTGCTTTGCGCAGTCTAAATTAACTAAATTCTAACTTAAAACTAAAAGAAAATAAGAAATAAAACCTCATTCTTTGGAATGATAAAATTACAAAACTTAAAGTTCATCCGGTGTTAAAGTCATGTCCGGGTAATAGTCTTAATCGGGTGTTCTCATGTTTGCTTCCTCCTTGCTCTTGCACTTGCTATTCGTTTATTTCTAGTTTATCAGTAGTGAATAAGTTTAGCTGGTCAATTCTGTCTTCTTCTAATAGTATGGTAAGTAGTATATCAGGTGAAATGGGCCAGTGATCGATGTCTGTTGATATTATGTTTCTGTTTATGGTAAAGTCGGGACAATGGTAAATTCTGTGGATTGGATCGTCCGGTATGTTACATCTTATGCACTTTTCGTTATATGTTTTCCCTATTCTTCGGTAGTGTGTGCGAAATTGTCCGTGTCCCGTGAGGGTCTCTGTAATCTTACTGGGCAGTGCCAGGTCTAAAGTTTGTCTGTTAATGACGTTCGGTATGAATTTATGTGTAATGCTGCCTGTGGTTGAATCGTCTCAGGTCTCCAGCCATATCTCTAACGTTCTTTCTCTCAATGTTTGCTTTATTTCATTTTTTGATTGGTGTGGTTCAGCCAGTATTTCTCTATTT